CAATAATATATACATGCATATACATACACACACACACACACACACACACACACACACACACACACACACACACACACACACACACACACATATATATATATATATATATTTATTTATATATATATATATATATATATATATATATACGTGGGAAAAGTAAACAAACTTACAGAGAAAAGTACGTCATCGTCGTGTTAAAATTTGTACATTAAACCCGACAGGATCGCTACGGTCAAATCAAATACCTGTAGCCACCTCCAAAGAACAAAGGTAATTGTTTTAACAGATTCCATTTTTACGAGTTTGCAAGTATATCTGATATTTTTCGCAATACAGAAAAAAGCCAATCCAATAAAGTGCTTTTTGTTTTAGAGAATGTTTCGTCCGACCACCTACTTTCACACGTGCCATACTATAATATTATCATGAGACACATTGATCGTGATGCGATTTGCTCAATCAAAGTAAGGGTACATCGTTGACTCAGCTGCTCACGTTTGCCCCGAGACTTGGAGCACAAAGATATTGGGCTTAGATATACCCCCTTAATAATACAGTGACTAATGGAACAGGATTGGATCTTTGTAGGGGAAAACTGCGTTCGAAATAGCTTGAATTGTTATTCTTTTGTGTTAGAGTCTATGATTATGCAAATCCCCACGTCTGTAGTGTAATGGTAGAACGCTTTGCCGTTATACGCAGATGATGTGAATTTGATTCCCGCCTTGTGAACTTATTTTATCGAATACACCCATCTGTCGGTTGGAATGTTGTATTCTATTGAGCCTGAGATGATCCAGACAAGGAAGGCCGTACAGGTCCGCTTCCTAACTCATCTAGATTGTGTTGATGAAGGTGTGAAACCTAGGCTAAAACAGCACCTGGGTATGGATGGCTGGTGCCTCTATAAATAAATTTTTGATTATGTAAAAACTTTTACAATCGTATCATTTTGATTGTTCAAGTGAAGGACTCGGTAGTCATATTTTGAACACCGATAGCCAATCCTACGCTGGTGGGTTGTTTTTTCCATAACTAAAATATGCAGCTAGATGGAGTCCAAAAATTAGCTGGATTCCAAAAATGAATACTGGGAAGAGTGAGTGCGCCCGTGTGTATGCGGTTGGGGGGAGGGTGTTCTGAAGCCGAGTGGGCATTTGATAAAAGAGAATCCGACTGAGTGAAATGCTACTTAAGTTATAAGATTATACCGTAGCCTACTTGGTTGTTTTTCTTTTATAGCTATGAATGTAACGACAAGTGCTTTTTGAAGATTGTCTTGTTCTGTACATAATATTCATGTCTCATGTAATTAAAGTCATTCGGGAAAACGCTTAGCAAAGCTTAAATTTTCTCGACATATCCTAAAAATGTAATTTGTGAGGCACCGTGGTGAAATAACGCTGTCGTCAAAATAATGAAATGGAAGAAACCGGCGCTATTTTCGTCAGTTTAAAACAATTGTTATCGATTTTGTTTCGTACGTTAGCTCAACAGTGTAAAACTTTCAATCACTAGAGTCGTCCTACACAGTTTTAACAGGAGAAACAATGAAACATACCTTCAAAGGTAAAATGGCTGCCTCCAGAGCATCCAGACGCTTCAAATTTGCCTCGTTTTGATTCTCCAACTCATGGATATGATCAATGAGAGCCTCAGTTGACGGGAATTCTATTCCCACTTCTGCAGCCCTGCCAACGAATATATAATTTGGTTTTTTTAAATCCGCACCGGTTATGTCTGTCTAAATTCTTTCTTTCTTTCTTTTTTTGTTGTTGTTGTTTGTTTTTTTTTGTTTGCGAGGCGTGACTATTATAAATATAATGAATAAAATTGAGTTAACAGCTATTGACTGGGGAGGAGAAATAGGGGTTGCTGATTTTACTTCTGCCTTACTTATCATCTAGTCACTTTTGAAAGGTTGTTTTTCTTTATGAGTGTTTAAATGCCAAAAGTAGTACTTGTGTATTAACAATAAGGAGAATACAAGAGAAAGGCACGAATAACTTACGTTTAGTAACACAAAACTATTCTAATCGTCCCGAATTTTGACCATGGCACGAAAACCCGTTAAGTATAGCTTCAGCCCAACTTTCTGAAAACATTTTTGATATTGCAAAACCACAGAAACGTCATGTGTGCGTGCGTGTGTGTGTGTGTGTGTGTGTGTGTGTGTGTGTGTGTGTGTGTGTGTGTGTGTGTGTGTGTGTGTGTGTGTGTGTGTGTGTGTGTGTGTGTGTGTGCTGGGTCGGGTGGATTCTTCTGAAACGATACCATGGGTAAATTATCAGCCGTAAATATCAACAGTAGCCTCCAAAATGCCAATCTAATTACATCACATCTTGTCAGTCAAAATCAAGCAATCTATACTATGAGAGAACACCTTACGCTCATCTTGCTACGACAGATGTCCTAAGCAATAGTTTTACACATTTGGCCAACAATCTGGCTTCATTGAGAATGACGCCTGTGATGTAATTAATGGTTAAACTCTTCACAATCGAACGCAAAAGAGGTGAGTTTGATATCCAAGTGGCGTAAGCTAGCTCAAGTCTCGCCACCATTCTTCTAGAATGTTGTATCTCACTCAACCTGGATTAGCCATAACAGACAGGGACAAAAGAACTTAAGCAGTAAACCTCTAGAATCTAGATCTATAT